AAAAAAATGAGCAAACAGACAATGCCTTACATTTGTATAAGCACATACAATGAAAGCACAAAATGAACAATGAATTTAAATAAAAAAAGAAATGTGCACAGAATAACCATGCAGGCACTTCCTTAAAAAAAAAAAAAAGGGCTTTTGCAAATGCGAAAAATTTTACAAAAACCAAAGCGGCTTTTTTCACATCTGTCTTCAATACATATTTATTTTGTGCACTGTTTATTAGGAAACATACCTTATTTTATGAAATAACATATTTAACAAAGCCAAAACAGCAGTGTGAAGAAAAAAGCTATACACAGTTCCATTCCGAACATTTTTCCTGAGCACTCCAATGGACTCCAAGTTCATTCCCAAAGATCCTTCAAATTGTACCTGCACACAACTTCCTGTAAACAGACAAGAAAAAAGACTTGTGGAAAAGATTCTGATTTGTGACCTTTGACATTAAAAACAGCATAACTATAGACCCTTTTCACATTTCTGGGGTCATCATAGCTAACTTCTATAGTGGTGAACGGAAACAAAACCAAAAAAATTCACGATAACGTGTATGAAACTTTCCAAAGGAGAACAAAAAAATATTGAGAGCTTGATTACTGTTGTCAGAAGAGAGAAAGAAAGAAAGAAAGAAAGAAAGAAAGATTTGTCGCCACACCCTCAGCCATTGTTTTAAAGGAGTCCTATTATGCTCTTTTACAAAGTCTTGATTAGTGATTTCTGTTAAATAAAATATCTCCTTTTGAAGTGGACTTTGAGCTTTGTAACTTTGCAGATCTTTTTTTATGCTCAAACAGCAACATTACAGACAAAACTAAAGTTGAAAAAGTGAAAAACATAATAGGACCCCTTTAAGGTTGCTTAGGATGCTCTGTGCTTGCACCAAATTCCGTATAAATGCACAATACCTCATAAAAGCCAGACTAAATTCTGCCTGTTCAGACCCAATTCAGCCCCTGGTATCAAATTAGGCAGTAATTGCAGTGAAAATGCATTAATGCCACTTCTGAGCAGCATTACACAGTCTGCGTAAATACACCTAAAAGCCACTTCAGGAGCCCTTCTCTGCCACCTTTTCCAAAGTAAATTTAGCATTAAAAACACTCATGCCTAATTTACACAGCAAAGGTGGTATAAATGCATTTACTGCATATGCAGGCATATTTTATGCAGTATTACACTTTTACACTGAATTTTGAGCAGGCACAGAGCAGCCCTAACTCTTAACTTTAGATTTCTAAAATTTTAGGTAATTAGAGGGTAATTAAAAAAAATAAAAAAGTATAGTGTTATAAGTAGACATTACTTTTAAAAAATGTTAATGACTGTGAAAATGTGTCATCAGTTTGTAAAAAGTGTCAATTAGGTTACCATCATATTCAAAGGAATACATTCAAATCAACCACTCTTACTTTGGCTCATCCAGTGTAATATCCACATATTTGCAGATCCTTAAATCTCTCTCTAGAGCTCGCTGTTTCAGACCCTCAATCTCCTCCTCAGCTTTCTTCCTCTCAGCTTCTTGGTCTTCTGCAGAACAACATGTGAGACAAAAATGACAGCAATGAGCATTAATATCCACACATCTTCATTCCAATCAAACCCTAGAAGCAAGAGTAACTCATATTTACCCTTTAGTTTCTGGAGTGAATCTTTCGCTCCATTGCTCTGCTTCTCTAATTTACCCTGAGAGAGGGAGAGACAGAAGAAGACTGTGTGAGAGCACTTGCATGCTTAAGGGTTATACAGCATGGGCAGATAAAACTGGAACACAGGGCTCAGTTTAACAGAGAACACTGTAATAGACCTGTCACAACACTTGATTTGCATACAAGCAGTCAAATATCCACTGCAGGAATGTAATACAAAACTGCAAAGAATCCTGAAACATTATCTCAGATTGCATGTTTCAACTATCATGAGACTCAGAGATGAAATATTATTACAATTCATAATAATGTTTTTCTAAATGCTATTTATTCCTGTGATTTCAGCAGCTATTTCTCCAGTCTTCAGTGTCACATGATCCTTCAGAAATCATTCTAATATGCCGATTTGCTGCTCAAGTAACATTTCTTATTACTATCAATGTTGAAAACAGCTGTCCTGACCCAAAAATCGTCATCATATAGATCATATACCACATCGATCATATAGAGTGCAAATATAAACATACTTTGCCATAAAGTAAATCTTTGGCATAAAGTTGTGTTCCTAAAACACTGTTTAATGCTTATGCCTTTGGGTGAATGAATAATTGAATAAATTACATACATTACATTACATACATTAATTATGTAAAAGTGCAAATACTACATACAACATTTAATTTAAAATTATGTACAATCCACACGTACAGTACTTTTCAAAGTTTGTTTTTTTTGGAAAGTAATTAAGCAAAGATGCATTAAATGACAGTAGAGTGACATTGATAATGTTGCAAATGATTTCTAGTTCAAAAAATGTTGTATTCATCAAAGAAAGAAAAGAATCCTGATTTTTTTTTAAAAATGCAGCACAACTGTTTTCAACATTGATAATAATAAAAAATGTTTCTTGAGTATACCAAATCAGCATTTTCAACACTGAAGACTGGAATACTGGCTTTGCCATGCTAAAAATTATATATTAAAATAGAAAAAAAGCTATTTTAAATTGCAATAATATTTCACAATATTACAGGTTTTACTGTATTCTTGATCAAATATGTGCAGACTTGGTAAGCATAAGAGACTTCTTTCGAAACCCATAAAAACATTTTACATTTACATTTGTGTAAAAGTGTATACTAAAATGAAATGGAATATAGCATGATGTAATGTGGAATATAGCATGTCACGCTGCAGGACATCAACTTAAAAGTATTTTGTGTCACCTACTCTCATATCAGAGACAAAAGAGCTGCGTGTGAAGGGAGAAATTCAGCACAAATGAATTAGATCAAACTATGGAGTTTGTGATCAATCTCAAATTACTGAATCAAAATGCATCAACTCTTGATTTAAATTAGAGCATATGGAAAGAGAATCACTGTACACAGTTCTTCGAGATTATTTACACTACCTTCTCAGCTTGGCAGGCGCCTAGTTCCTTTTCAGAATTGGCATTGCCTTTCTTAATGTCGTCCTTCTGTTTTTTAAGTTGATCCCTCTGTGTGATCACAGGATTAAGATTTTTATTCATCTCTTCCACTTTCATCTTGGCTGCCAAGATCCCATCCTCCTTCAACTTCAACTGTTGACCGGAAACTGCCATGCGTGTTTTCAGGTTGCGGATGTTGAGCTCCTGCTGTACGGCCTGGTAGATTATAACCAGCAGCGCACATAAGGCCAGAAAAACCATTGTCGATATGGCTCTCATCCTGAGGGAAGAAGAAAAGGGTAGAGCAGACTAATGGAGTTCCTCTGGGAAAAGTTGATTTTGTTTTCTTTCTCTCGCTAGCTACTTGGTTCTCATGGCAGCAGCGTCTATGCTGTTGACTGAATCCAACTTGTCTCCCTGTTCTGTCTTCCTGAAGAGCTATTGCTTTAAGACAGCGACAGGTAAGCCATGCCTTACCTGTACAACTGGATGTCTGGGTTAAGCAAACCAGTGTGTGTGTGTGAGAGAGAGAGAGAGAGAGAGAGAGAGAGAGAGAGAGAGAGAGAAAGAGAGAGAGTGAAACCTCAACTTCCTTGATACTGTTGCTGTGATCTCTGATCAACTTTCCACTCACTCCACCCACCTTTGTTTTGTCAAAGCAGCTAAAACAATATAGTAGAAAACACATCAACATATTTTGCGTTTCTTCCAATTAAAGAATATAACAAGCAGTACTTCTTTATCTCTTACACAAACAACTCAACTAGGGGACTGAAGGTTTACAGGTGTGGCATTATAAAACTCATCAAAATTCGTCAATCATTACAACGTGGTTAAACAGGATGGACCGGGATATAATCTTATTTGCATGAACTAACCAACATGCCATTAAAGTGCATGTCGTCTGAGCATCGAAACCCCTGTTTTTTCCCCCAGCCACGTTTAACAGGTGCTCACCTAATGCGTTGAGGTTTCATTACTCTACTGTGAAGGCTTGGCTCGACAGATGTCAAAATGATTTTGTCCATCATTGTACTTGGATTTCAATGCAAGTGACAAGTTTCAAGCGTGGCTACATGGAATTTCTTCGATGTCTGACATTGTGTCATAAGCGACGTCAACTCACTGGATGTGGACCGACTCATTGAACGGAGAATCGTTTCTGTCGGTTAATAAATGAAATGACAGCAACTTCTTCTTGATTTTTATGGCGGTTGGCATAAAACTTTTAGATGACAGATGAGAACTCCACCTCGATAGCACTTACATACAACAAACACCAGTTTTAAGCTTAAAAAAGTGATAAAAATAAATATCTAAAATCCCCTTTAACTCTGTAGCCTACTAATAGGGCCTATATAAGCAAAATGATAGTTTCGACCCTGGCTTTAGCCAATGTTCAAATATCTGTTCTGGAAATGTATGCAAATTAGTTCATATTTAGATCAAGCTTCATTTGCGACTTATAACTTTTCAGGGAAAAAAAAACGTGTAGCCTAATACAAATGATAGGCTACTCAATGTAGCCTGTGATAGAAGCATGGCGATATCTGGAGAACGTATGGTGATATACATTAGGCTAGTTAATTATTTTTATTTTTTCACCTGTAGTGTTAACCTTTTCAACTACGAGATGTAACTTATATAGGCCTATAGGTTGTAAATGATGTAACAGCCTATACATTATTTACGCGCTGATATCATAGCGTAACTGGGCGACATGACATTACATCATTCCAGCATTAATACAAATATAATCGAGAAAAACGTAATAAACAGTAAGTTTTAACAGTTTGAAAGAACCAATTCGGAGAAATGAGTCGGACGCACCTCGTACGTCTTAATAGGTTGACGTCACTGCAAGTGTACGCCAATGAGTTTGCGGGGTGGGCGTGGTTTTCTATAGCTGGGCTGTGTTACCTGTAGCGACGTCTCCAGTCCACTCCTTTCAAACAACGCTCAGGTGAGCAGGAATCTACCGATCGTTAAAAACATCAAAACCAGGAAGGAAGCTAACTGAGGATCACTCTGTTAACCTACGTTCTAGTTGCATTAAGGAATTAACGTGGACTTGAGTGACAAAATATTTGAAGATCCGTGTTAAGATCACGGAGAATACACAGCGTTTGCTCTTCAACATAATGCGACAGTCTTGTGGGAGGGGCTAGTTTCAGCGACAGGTAACTCTAATTATCGGTACACCTGCACGCGAAAGACAGGTTGTGAATCCGGTCCAGCTTCCTCTTGAGCCCTCCATCATGAAGTTTCCTGCACTGCTGTTGGGTTTTGTCTTGGTGTGTAGTCTGGGTATCGCTGGCTACATCCATACCAGACGAAAGCAGGAGACGCAACTGAGTAAACAGGCTTCATTTCTAGATATTAAGTTAAGAGTGACCAGAGATGTTCTGGGAGAATACCAAGATCAGCTGATCCAGTCCAACACACTGCTGGAAAAAATAAAAAAAGAGGTGGGCAGTCTAACCAAAGACCTGTCCGTAGCCAAGACCTTTGTAGAGAAGAAAATAGGTGACATTGCTGCATGTAAAGGAGACAAGGTGAGTTGTAGAATGTGGGATGTTTAATTGTTTTTATGTGCTGTCAAGTATTAATATACATCTTAATTGCTTCATTATATCACCATAATGGTCCAGCTATTGTAACTGACAGTATGCCTTCAAATCCACGTAGGCCTATATGACACATGTGATTTATTATAACCGGTCTTTTCTTCTTCAGAAACGATTAACAGATGAAATTGCTGCTGCAGAGTCAGAAAAGAAACATATCCAGAGTGAGTTTCCATCTCTTTATTTCCACTTTTAACAAGAAGACCGTTTGGACATTTTTAAAGACCATACTGACAAAGAATAATATGGAGGTAGAAACAGTTACAGATTGTATCTCTTTGTAACTCAGATTAGCTAGCTTTGTCAGTTATAGTAGGCTAAAGCCCATGAAAATATAATGCCCGTCCCAAAGCCAGTCAGTCATGCCTGGATAAATATAGCTAATGATGCATGTAGTAAGTAATTTTTAAGTACTGGAATTGCACAACTGGGGTGCAAGTCGCTGACAATAGCCTACATATACATATATATATATATACCCTTTTCTGTTCCTAGTCAAGTTTGTGAAGGAGAAGTCACAGTGGGGAATCGAAGCTGAATCTCTAAAAAAACAAATGGAGCAGTTGAGCACACTTTGCAAGTACATCGACAAGACGTCTGAGGAGGGAAAGTGAGTACATTATTATAATAAAACTATTTTCTATGGATCTCCAATCTCACGAAACTGTCAGATAAAGTTAGCTGTGTTTAAATGGGTGCAGAATCTGTTGATTGGTAATTCTGTGTAAGGCTGAAGGGTTGTTATATAACCTGAAGCTTTTAAATGAGGATTTGGGTTAATGTGTGACCCTGGACCACAAAACCAGTCATAAGGGTAAATTTGTCGAAGCTGGATAAATAAGCTTTCCATTGATGTATGGTTTGTTTGGATAGGACAATATTTGGCCGAGATACAACTATTTGAAAATCTGGAATGTGAGGGCGCAAAAAAATCAAAATATTGAGAAAATCGCCTTTAAAGTTGTTCAAATGAAGTTCTTAGCAATGCATATTACTAATCAATATTAATTAATTAACCGCTCATTCTCTTTCTCTCTGTGGTTGGTTTTTCCTTTGTTGTTTTGATTAAGTATAGTTTCTTATGTATAGTTGTAAATAGGCTCATGGGTTAATGTACGATTTGCACTTAGCTTTTACATGCTGGGTTGTAAATTCTTCTAACCTGTTAATAAAGCGAACCACTTTTATTTGTGAAACTTCCAGTCTTGTTGGCTTCAGTCATTCCCTGCGTTCCTCATTTATGTGTAAATAGTAGGGGTGTTTGTCTGAGTGGCCTTTATGTGCGTCCCCCTATTTCCCTAGACCGCCACACCACTAGGGGACGTAACATTGATATTAATATTTATTAATATAAAAAAATTCAGTTTGAATATTTACGGTAGGAAATTTACAAAATATCTTCAAGGAACATGATCTTTACTTAATATCCTAATGATTTTTGGCATAAAAGAAAAATCAATAATTTTGACCCATACAATGTATTTTTGGCTATTGCTACAAATATACCCCAGCGACTTAAGACTGGTTTTGTGGTCCAGGGTCACATTTATGAATTGAAACTTTTAAAATATAAAATTAAAACTCATTTTTTAAATTGAAATAGGAATAGATAGTGTATTTCTGCTGAGCATTAACATTGCTTAATGATACTCCTTTCCTTATCCAAGGAAACTGTGTAAAATAACCGAAGAGCCACAACAGCCAGCGGCAAAGCCCAAGGAAACGCAAGCGGAAAAACCCAAGGCTGAGGAAGCTAAAGCTGAGGAACCGAAACCGGAGGAACCAAAAGCGGAGGAGTCAAAAGCTGAACAGCCAAAAGTAGATGTGGTGTGAAGAAAAACCAAGTGGATGAGTATGTGTGTGTTAGGGGAGTGGAGAACAAGACCACGTCAGCGTCCGCTGGAGAATTGTATAGGACGATTAACTAACTTGAACGTCTTGCTTGGGTTGATCTCCAGCATTCCAAAGGCATCCCTGGAATGACACACACTTTGGGTTCAAGGTTTGACTGACAACATCACATGTGGTCTGTCATATTCCTCCTGTGTTTTCTGACAAATAATTGTGTGTTTATGAGGAATATGGGATGATGCATGTGTGAAAAACATGTATTTATTTTTTGAAAAACTCAATTTCTTTCTTTTTTTTTCAGAAAAAGAGTGTTAGGTTTCTTTGCTTTCTGGGTGTGTTTGATTTTTTATATTTTCCCCCCTGTAGTTTACCTTGCCTGTGTTACAGTGTCATTCTGACCCTCCCTCAGGCTCATTCATACATCCCGCTTGTATCGACCAATGGGAAAACTCTGACCCTCTTACTGTCACATCTAATCATCCTCACTCTGTTACCCCGGTTACTATTGTTATGCAGTCCTGACAACACCGAGTTGAACCAATCTGAGCCTTCAGTGAAGCAGAAAACCAGTTACGAAGTTGTAAGAGTTGCTGACTCTTGCTCTCCTTTGTTGTAAGTTTTGGTTTTATGCTGACATATTGTGATGTGTGATGTAAAATAAAAATAATGTCAGAGTATGACTGGTCATTTCTTTTATGTATTCTTCCAGTAAATGGACGTTTACCACTTCGCAATGTAAAGCTATTTAAAATGCTTGTCTAGTCAATGTAGTCTGCTTTTAATCTTACTTGCTTGACTAATGAACTAATGCTTGAATAATTTGTTATTCTAGGCTGTTTAACCAGTTTGATGGGTATATAAGTTATGTTGGGTGTTTCAGGTGCAATGTGGTTTGAGACAAAATATATGAACAATGCAGTGCTAATTGACATAGCATTTATTACAGTATAGAAACTATTCTGCCTTATTATGTGATAAAAAAAGTGTTTGTAGTATATAAACAAATCATTATTATTGGTTATTGTCCAGCAGTTATGATTTCTAAGCCAATTAAAAGCTAGAAATTAGAGAAAAATTAAAGTTGCATGTACACAGTTTTTGAACAGTAAGATTGTTAATGTTTTTGTAAAGAAGTCTCTTCTGTTCACCAAGCCTGCATTTATTTGATCCAAAGTACAGCAAAACAGTAAAATTCTGAAATATTTTTAAAATAACTTTTATTTGAATATATTTTAAAATGTAATTTATTGTGATTTCAAACTTGAATTTTCAGCATCATTAATCCAGTCTTCAGTGTCACATGATCTTCAGAAATCATCTGATATTCTGATTTGCTGCTCAAAAAA